GCAGCTGAGACAGGCCACCCCAACCGACTTGGTGGCACCACAGTGTCAGCCTTATCAGCATAGGTCTCCCCAGACCGAACCACTGGCTGTGAACATTCTAAACTAACACGAGTCTCATTAAGTGTCCAATTTAAGGGTATTACACAAAAACACACCAAGGGAACATTAATCAAATATGCACTCTTATTCATTTACAATAAACTCATAAAGTACATCATTCTGATTGAAGCTAAGGGCATACAAAACTGTCTAACAGAATTAGGGTTAGAAAAAACAACATCATCGAACCAACAACTCGGTCCAACCAGTTTGGACCAAATCTGGTGTAAATCGGCCCAAGTTTTGGTGTCCAGTTCAAGATTTAATTCAAGAATACTGATCTGAAGATAAATTAATTCATGATAATCAAATTATCAAGATACTAATATCAGAGGGCTGCATTGTTATTTTCTTGGATATCCTGCAAACCTGCAAAGAACAGTTAATTGTAGATTGCAAAATCGCAAATCGCAGAACTTGTTTCTACGAAAATTTCTTCTCCTCTGTTGTGTGCTCCAGCGATCTCCAGATGGAAATAAAATAGAAAATCCTAATTTTTTTATTATTACACCACATCGAATTCCTATACAATTTGTCTAAAAATTAAAAAAAATATTTACAGACCAAATTGAATAGAAAAGAAATCGCAGGGTATGCCATTCTTGGCATCAAAAAGATTCGATCTCCATCACATGTGCAGCCCAAAAATTCAAGAAACATTCATAGAATAATTTTATAAATATCATAGAATAATAAAGATTTATTTTCCAGATCATCTGCCCATAAATCTAGGAGCCAATTCCCAAAAAAAACGATAACTGCACAAATCGCGTAGAATGCCTTCTGCCCATTTGCGCAGATTCATATATGTTCTAATTTGGTTCAGGACTTGAACCCGGCTCTGATACCACTGAAGGGATGGGAGATCCATCATATAGATGGCCGAACCCTATAGGAAGGTTGGGTGAAATTTCAAAAATTTCTTTACTCCCATCCAAGAATCCTATTCCCAATTTAGAAAATTGCATCTTCAATGTTCATTCTTGTAACCAAACCGGACCAAATCTGAAACCAAAATGAGGGAGGGATATTCCTGATATGAAATCCAAGCAAGAATGTTCCTCCCAACATAGGTGTTCATGCCCAAAGAGAGTACCAAATCCTCCCTCCATTGAAGATGACACAGCTTAGGGTGAGGTGGATCAGCAAGTAGTTCTTCACCAAGAACTAGTCATTCTTCACCCAGAATCGAATGGGGCAGTGAGCACAACTTCTAAATTGTTTCTTCTGGCAAGAAACAATATCAAGATCGAATCTTGATCCAATCCAAGAACTGGAGATCGAATAGGGTAGGGCGGCAAGAGCAGGGAAAAAAAGAGTAGAAGGCAAGAGCAGTCCAACTATGTTGTCTTCTCTCTTGTTATTTAGTGAATGTCTTTTTAGAGGTTCAAACTGCCCTCTTATTTATAGCCTTAAAGAGAAATTTTCCTAATCTCATTAGGAGTTTCCTAATCCAAATCTTTTATTTGGATCTGGACTCTTTAAGTGATAAGGATAGTCCCTTATCTTATCTACAGATAAAGATCAGCCTTCCTAATCAAATTAGGAGTTCCTTTGATCCAAATCTTTATTTGGATCTGGACTCTTTAAGTGATAAGGATAGTCCCTTATCTTATCTACAGATAAAGATCAGCCTTCCTAATCAAATTAGGAGTTCCTTTGATCCAAATCTTTATTTGGATCTGGACTCTTTAAGTGGATAAGGATAATCCCTTATCTTATSTVSTGATCCAAATCHYAGATCYRCYCCTATTTAATTAATCTAATTAACCCAGTTCGAAATGGGATTTTAGGCCCATTAAGCTTTCAGGCTTACTACCAGTTTAATGCTGGTTAGGTTGGCTCTCTTTGTATGGTGTGGGACCCTATCGTTGATCTACACATCAGCCACATGGGTTCAACCTAGCCTCTGTTACAAGGCCTGGCTAAATTCACTACTGAATACAGTGAACCCCTGAGTCCATCACTATGAGCTCTTAATGGGCCCAACATTTACACTAAATGGTCATTGGGTCTAGCCATCTTATGAAGGCCCACGGACTATGGGCAGATGCTAGATTAGCCCATCAGGTATAATCCTCAATGGTCTTACACATATATATCTATATATATATTTTGCAAAAACAAATTTCAACGGTTGAAATCAACTGTTGGCAGTTTAGGTTTCCATAAGAGAAAGTGCATCCCCGATCATTCACTTTGTCCGACAAAGGAGCTGATCATGTCACTATGATCACCCACTCAGATGAATTCTTGGACTGTCTCAACATACCCAAGTTTTGACCCCTTCTAAAGATCTCACTGATTAGTGCATATCAAAGACAACCCAATCTGATACCTAGTGCAGTATCATAATCGAGTCTAGGGGTGATGTATAACATTCCAATTTTACCCATCTATCTTCAAGGTCCAGGGCAATACTGAAATTTTGGTCCGGTTCAAGGTTTCAAAAAACCCACACTACATGTATCTTAGGTCTCATCCTGGCAGCTGAGACAAGCCACCCCGACCAACTTGGCAGTACACCAGTATCAGCCTTGATAGGATAAATCTCCCTAAATCTATCCAACGGCTGTGAAGATTCTAAACTAACACAAGTCTCATATGTGTTCAGTTTAAGGGTATTACATAGAAACACACCATAATAACATGAATCAAATATGTACTTTATTCATTTACAATAAATGTCATAATGTACATCATGCTAATTGGAGCTAAGGACATACACTGCCTATCATAAATGCGCCTATGAACATCGAGTTTCTAACAGAGAGAGAGAGGGACATAAATCCTTAAAATAAGGAATGTCAAATACAGCGTTAGTGGTTTCTCTAAAACTAGCTCAATCAAAGTTTCAACCTCAAAAACTGGTAGGAGTTCACTTCTTTACCGAAAATAGGTGTTAAATTCAGCTCCTCCTCTCTTGTCCTTCCAATGCTCTTCAAAAATGTTCTTTTTTTCCCTTTGTTTTTAAATTTTAAAAATAAAATCCCACAATTTCAAAGAAGGATCCAATGTCAAAGCATTTGGCATACCATATGTCCTTTTCTTTTATTAACTTTTACTTTTTTCTAAAGAAACAATACTTCTCTTCACATTTAAAAAAGAAAGAAACCGATACTTATCTTCCTATAGAAACAAGAAATACTGCTTATAAGCAATAAGAAATTGATACTCCTCAAGAAGCCAATAAATACCTTCTGTGCTGCTTCAATCTCTCTTGCCGTTGTTGAAGGTTCTCGACTCCTCGTCATCTGTTCTAGCAGGTACACCTCTCTCCTCATTTTATAGTATATAACTATATACTAACCATCTGAACACCCGTTATCTGTCCCCCACCCCCTCGTTGAACATGTTGAACATGATGCGTCATGTCCCTCATCAGCAAGTATATACCCCAAAATCAGTCAATCTAAGGCAAACTTCATTCATTCAGTAATGCCTAGAGAGGAAACCAATAGAGTAGAAGCAACAAGAAAAGTTGATGAAAAATGACTAGATCTGAACATGACAAAGTGAAAAATCGAGGAAAACAGACCAAACAAAAGAGTAATAAGGATTAGCTGAACGCAATGGCTGTTCAGCGGGCTTTGAAAGTTGGAACCAATGGTAATATGTTCATGGGCAGTCCTATGAAATTCCTATTAAATTTTTCATGAAACTGAACCTTGAGAAAAATGCTATGCCTTGATCCGGTGGTAGTGATATTACTGACTGAGAACATTAAAACGTTATGTTGGTTCGGTTGTAAGATGGTTGATTATTATCCTGAAAGTTAGGAATTCAAATTTCCTATTAACTTTCTCTACCCACGCCCTTGGCATAGTACACTGCAGCCGTGCATCTCACAATATAAGACGGGTAGGAAGTCGTTATGTTTATAAGTTTATTAATTTAAATAAGCCCTAGAAATTTGAGGTATTTGAGTATACTTGAGTTCAAAATCAAGAGATCTGTTTTAGTACGTAGGATTTTTGCATCTTTTTGGGCATTTTCCTAGATTTGAAAAATATTCACTATTATTTAATAAGTTAATTTATTGTTTCTGTAAATTTGGATTCTAAGTATAATTAGGAGTTTAATTAATTTGTAGCCTATAAATATGACTGTAATAACCAGTATGTGATCGATCACCTTTTGATAAGAAATTCATTTTTTCTTGATTGAATCATTTATTGCCCTAGTCGTGTTTTCTTTTGTTAAGATTTCTCATGCCATGGCGATTATTTATTTCATGTACGTACATAACATGACAGAAAAGGATCGATGTCATCCACAAATATAATAGCACCAAGTGCAATCGTCCCTGAATTCCTTACAAAGGATAATTATGAAGATTGGGTAGTTTGGCTAAGAAACTACTTGTTGGGTGAAGAGCTTTGGGAAATTGTTGATGGAACGGAGCCTATCCCTCAAGCTACTCAACCCCAGTATAAGACGTGGAGAAAGAAGAATGCACAAGCTCTACATGCTATCCAAATTACATGTGGAGCTGATATGTTTTCTCATATCAAACAATTTGATGTTGCCAAACCTGCTTGGGACCATTTGGCCTCTATTCACCAGTCACAAACTGAACAAATTAAATTACTTCCACAAACAGAAGCCAGCCCCGGCCCCGAAGGAGATGCACCTCACTTATTTCATTCGGCCTCCATGGGTCAGTGTCCGTCGGCAAGTATTCAAATGCTATTACATTCATGCCAAATGCAGAATTTGACTTCTGCAACACACAACCAGGCTCCTGTGCACCCAACACAGAAAGGTACATCTCTATTATAGGATTCCTTTCCCCTTTAAATTTTAGGGAAAATTTCAGATACTACCCTATACTTTGGGTCTAGTGTTACTTTGGTTCTTGGGTTTTAAAATGAGACAATTTAGTACTTAAATTTTCAAAACGTGCCAATTTAGTACCTGTTATTAACTAATATGCTAATCAGTCGTTAAGTGCCATTTGAAAAAGACAAAAATACCTTTCAAGTGTCATCTAATTTTTTTTATCTACCATCCGAACGTTGACTAAAAATAAACAGTCCCAAATCTTTGCCTCTCTTGTTCAAGAAAGTTGGGGTCACCAAAATGCCCACTAACTAAGACGTAACCCCAACTTTCTTGAATAGAAGAAGCAAGGATTTGAGAGTGCTCTTTTTTTATCAACATATGGATTGTTGATAAAGAAAATTAGATCATTCAAAGGACATTTGTGTCTTTTCAAATGTCACTTAACAGCTGGTTAATGACATAGATACTGAATGACACATTTTGAAAAATTGGATATTGAATTGTCACGTTTTAAAATTCAGAGACTAAAGTGGCATTGAACCCAAAGCACTCAGTACTAATTGGGAATTTTCGCTAAATTTATTGTTTACTATTGGATTTTGCTTTCTTTCAAATAGGGATGATTATGGGCCTGATAAGGTTGGGCAGGGTTTTGAGCCTATGTGAGTGAGAGGCCGCATGTGAAACCAATGATAATGTTTCATGTCCATGCTAGTAATAAAATATATAGGACCTTTATGTTTTATAGTGAAACCCATGAATTTATTACAGTATTATCATTGGTTCCATCAGCTTCAGCAATTGGAATTAATATATATATGTGTTTTGATGAATCACAAGGGACATTGTCCAATATCTCCAGTGGGACCCAAGGGCAAAATACCATAACGAGACTCATTCTCTCCATGAATATTATATTTATCTCTTTACTGAAAATTTATGAGTAATTATACAAAGATTGATGTAGGGTAATGATCCGATTTCCATTTCAACCATGTCCCAAAATAAGTAAAAGTTTGCTTAATGGATTAAAACTGCGACAGATAATCTCCGGGAGGACAACGTTAGCTATCTACCCCTATACAAGGCCGTGGATGATGGTGACTGGGAGAGTGCCAAAAGATTCCTTGATGACCATCCGGATGCAGTGAGAGCCAGGATCACGGCAACAGGGACCACAGCTCTGCTTGTTGCGTCTATGAATGGCAATGTTGTCATGGTGGAGAAGCTGCTACAGTTGATGTCGGCAGAAGACATGGAACTGAAGGACATTTATGGTAACACAGCCCTTTCCCGTGCTGCCATGGGTGGAATTACAAAGATTGTGGAGGCCATGGTGAATGCCAATAGACGTTTGGTATGCTTACGAAATAATTTTGATTGCATCCCAGTTGTTATGGCTGCTATCTATGGCCGCAAGGATACGGTGCGCTTCCTTTACTCGGTCACCCCAGACGTTGAATTTAATCCTCAGATAAGTAATAATAATGGAGCTATACTTCTTACTGAAGCAATTCGTGCCGAGATCTACGGTAAGATCATCATATACTACTTTGTAGCAAAAGCAATTTATCACAATATAATTCGTTAATAATACCATTCTTGTTTGTTTTATTCTTAAGATGTTGCTCTGAATCTACTCCGACGCTACCCACGGTTAGCTATTACTCAAAATAATCTTGGTGATACAGTATTGACTGCACTGTCTCGAAGGCCTTCAGCATTTCCAAGTGGAAGTCGGCATGGTATTTGGAGACAATGGGTCTACTCATGTACGTAGCTGCCTCCATTTTTTCTTTTATTTGAGTGCAACAATGGTTCTCTTAAAGAAGGTCAGCCATACTGAAAAAAAATAATCTTTGTGGAGAATCTTGTGTCATTATGCAAGCCACAACTATATATATACACATATAATCGACGCCTGAAATTTAGGAGCAGGAGACTCACTTGTAGTAGTAACCTACCTACTAATCATAATTAGCTAAAGACGCCTAGGGAACTACCGGAATTTGTGCCTAGATATATGCTTATCCATGTTTATCCAGAATTTCCTAGTCTATGACGAATTCCAACACTCCCCCTCAAATTGGCGCAAGAAGATTCCGAATGCCCAATTTGCCAAGGAAATAGGTGAATTTCTCTTTTCCAAGAGCCTTCGTCAAGATGTCAGCCAACTGCTCTGTGGTTCGAACATGCCAAGTACCAATGTTCCCATGCCGCAGCTCATCGCGAATAAAATGACAGTCGACTTCAATATGCTTTGTCCTCTCATAAAACACTGGATTCGCGGCTATATACAGGGCTGTCTGGTTATCACAATATAAGCGCACAGGTTTGTCATGTGCCACTCCCAAGGACAATAGGAGTTTCTTCATCCACTTCAATTCACAACATGTCGCAGCCATCGAACGATATCCTGCTTCTGCCGAGGAGCGCGACACAGTGTGTTGTTTTTTCGTTTTCCAGGAAACTGGTGACTACCCCAGCAAAACGAAATAGCCGGTCAACGATCGTCGTGACAACGGACAGCTTGCCCAATCAGAGTCACAATAAGCATACAAGCGCAGATCGCTATCGGAACACAATACTATACCTTGTCCAAGATATCCTTTCATATATCACACTACACGCAGAGCTGCCTCCCAATATTCTTGTCGCGGGCTTTGCATGAATTGGGCTAGAATATGAACACAATAGCACAGCTCAAGTTGTGTGATGGTTAAGTATATCAACCTCCCTACTAGTCTTTGATACTGATTCGGATTGTGCATTAGAGCACCCTTGGCCAGCGCAAGATGATGATTTTGTTCAATGGGCACTGACGCTGGTTTGGCTCCCAATAGTCTACATTCCGAGATAATGTGCAGGGCATACTTCCATTGAGATAAATATATTCCATCAGGACCACGAGCTACTTCAATACCTAGGAAATATTTGAGTGGACCTAGATCTTTCATATGGAAGCATCGACTGAGATACTCTTTGAATTTCATAATGGCTATAGTATCATTTCCCCCAACAATCAAATCATCAACATATATCAGCACGTGCAGACGAACATTGTGTTTGAAATAAGTGAACAAAGAGTAGTCAAGATACGATTGAACAAACCCGAACTATATCAAGGCCGCTGTTAATTTCGAGAACCAGCATCTGGGAGCCTGACGTAATCCATAGAGAGATTTCTTCAGTTTGCACACTTTTGTTCGATCCTTAGATGCAAAACCTGGCGGCAACTGCATGTATACCTCCTCATCCAAATCCCCATGTAAGAATGCATTATGTACATCCATCTGATGCAACTCCTAGTTCTTAGCGGTTGCCACGGCTAAGAAAGTGCGGACTGTCGTCATTTTGGCCACAAAAGCGAAATTCTCATTATAATCTTACCCCTCAACCTGTCTATTCCCGAGAATAACTAGCCGAGCCTTATGTCGTTCAACCATCCCATCTGAATTATATTTGATCTTATAAACCCATTTACTCCCTATTGCCTTTTTCCCGGGAGGTAGAGTTTCCAATGTCCAAGTACCATTATCCTCCAGAGCCTGAATTTCCTTCCTCATAGCTTCCCTTCATTTCTCACTTTTCATTGCCTCCGAAAAGCTGGTGGGCTCGGCTCCTGCAGTGACTGCAGCTAAGAAAGCTTGATGTCTAGCAGAGAAGTTAGTACATGTCACTTAATTCGCTATGGGATAGGGAGTCGTACCTGAGGACTCTGATTCAGAGTTGGCTTGAGTGTGAATGGGGTTTTTCAAATATCGAGAAGTGTAGGTCACGTAGGGCTTCAACAAAACAAACGGCGTGCGATGCCGATGTCCCCTATCAAGTTGCTCTTCTGGTGTCGTTTGTGGTGTTGGATCCACATTAATTCTGTCCTCACTACCATTAATTCCCACTTCCTGCACATTCTCTTCTTCTCCGTGTTCCTCCTCTCTTCCATCATCATTATTCTCAAGGCTCCCCCTATCACAGATGTCGGCTGCATCACTCCCCCTGTCTTTATTCCCTCTGTGGCTGTGTACAACATCATCATTGACTACGGCATCAACTGGTGCAATGGCCGGGCCAAGTTTGTCTCCCAGAGTGGCTTCTGAACCAGTGACATATGGAAATATATTTTCATGGAAGACTACATCACAGGTACAAAATATTAACCTCTTTCAACATCATATATGCGCCAACATTTCTTTCCGTAGGGATAACCCACAAAAACACACTTCCTACTCCTTTCTCCAAACTTATCCTTGTCTCGAGGACTCCAATGAGCATAGCAGAGACAGCCAAATACTCTCATGTGCTTGTATTGAGGTGGCGTCCCGAACAATATCTCATACAGAGTCTTCCCGCCAAGTACAGAAGAAGGTGTGTTGTTTATCAAGTATCCGGCGGTTAAGGCACACTCCCCCCAAAAACCAATGGGCAAGCCTGCTTGAAATCTCAATGCTCTCGCAACATTCAAGGTATGTCTGTGTTTTCTCTCTACCCGACCATTTTGTTGCGGTGTCCCAACGCACGAAGTTTGATGCAGAATGCCATGAGTCTCAAAGTATGATTTCAAGCTTTTAAATTCTGTTTCATTATCACTTCGAACAATCCTGACTTGCTTGCCAAACTAACGTTCTGCCATGGCACAAAATTTCTCAATAATATGTGTTACTTCACTTTTGTCCAGTAACAAGTAAACCCACACAACACGAGAAAAATCATCAACAATGGTTAGAAAGTAAACTGCACCACAAGAGGCAGGTACTTTATAGGTGCCCCATGTATCACAATGAATTAGAGAGAAACAATCATCAACTTTATGTTTACTTTTAGGAAAAATTTCCCGTGTTTGTTTTGCTCTGTAACAAACATCACATGGCTTATCTCCTTCAGTTCTACTATTTAATTTATCTGCTTTAGGAAGAAAAGATAATATCTGTTTAGACGGATGCCCTAATCTACGATGCCATAACTCCTATTCATCCATACCTCTTGTTCTATTCGCCTGAACCGGTGCTGCTCCTCTAAAATGATAGACCCCATCACACTGCTCACCCACTCCAATCAGACTCCTCGAGGTTTGGTCCTGTATCACACATAGCTTGTCAGTAAAAGTGACAGTACAATTTATCTCTCGTAACAATTTTGCTACGGAAATAAGGGTGCAGTTCATTCTTGGTACAAAAAGCACATGATGTAGATAAATATTTTCACCCAAATGTAAAGTCCCTTCCTTCACTGCAGTGGTTTGCTTCCCATTGGGAAGTCCCACCGGACACGGTGTAATATTCCGTGCATCCATCAATAAGTCAATTTCTCTAGTCATATGGTGCGACGCCCCGGAATCAATTATCCAATCAGTAGAATTTTTCTTACTAGAGAGTTTTTCATTAGTCCTGGTTTTGTAAGTATCAAGCATGTTTACGAGAATCTGCCACTGCTCGTCATTAAGCCCGTTTAGTCTGGTCCTATCTCCGTTAGTTACGACTGCATTAGTAGCCACCTCACGCCCTGCCGATGACTGAGCAGCATGAGTTTTTGCTGAACTTCGGTCACGTCCCCCAGAAGGTCGAACATACTTACTCGAACTCTCACCATTCCTACTGCAAATGGCCATCACCATTTCCCTCCCTGACGTCATGAAAGCGTCAATCCGTCCAGACATTGTCAACTTCGTTCACATCAATGTATCAAAAAAAAAAGGAAAGACAACCGTCAGCAAGCGCGCCGCCCATCAGACCTCTGCTGAGTCATGGAGTACTAGTCGTGCCGTCCAGCGGCAACCAACAGAGGTGTCAGAGGTTTTTCTTCCTTCTAATTTCGACTCTGCGGCGGGAAGAGGAGTTGCAATGACAAGCTTTCTCTCTTGTTCTCATCGAATTCGATGAAGCATCGGTCCTTCGTATCAATTTTCGATTCCCGAGTTTCGATACCGTTTGGGGACAAGGGGTCCCAGTTCTCTTGTTCCGTCGATCGATTTCAGACATCAACAGAGGCAATAGCAACAGCAGCCAATCAACTGTTCATTAGCATCTTCTTTTGAACCCGAAACCGGAGGCAATGGTGACAAAAAAAGGAACGCACGATGGAGCAGCGTCTCTCATCTTCTTTGTGTTCTTCCCAGAAATCACAACACTGTTCATCATCTTGAAAACCAGAGCAGCAGTGGATCTGAAACTGATGACCCGCGGGCATTGAGAAGACATCTTCCACGATCAAGATCCTCAAGCAGGTCGGTGCTTATCCCGATGTGGATAGCCATGCGATCCGACCAGGAATGGGTAAGATGAGGAACCGTCGATACATTTCTCGCAAGGGTCCTCTCATTGTTTATGGCACTGAGGGTTCCAAGATTGTGAAGGCTTTCCGCAACATCCCCGGTGTCGTAGTTGCCAATGGGAGAGAAGAGGAGGAACAGTTCTCGCCGCCGCTGGTTCCGCTCGAACAGGGAGAGAAGAGAAACAGTAGTTTCGCCGCCGCTCTCTGGGTTGGGTTCGAATGGAGGGAACGAACTACAGTGCCGATCTGGAAAAACTGGAGTGCAAGGTCTGGACTCTGCCGGCGCCAAGCGAATGCGGTGTTGTTCTCAGCAACTTAGTTATGGCTCTAATACCATGAAAAAAATAATCTTTGTGGAGAATCTTGTGTCATTATGCAAGGCACAACCATATATATACACATACAATCGACACCTGAAATTTAGGAGCAGGAGACTCACTTGTAGTAGTAACCTACCTACTAATCATAACTAGCTAAAGACGCCTAGGAAACTACCAGAATTTGTGCCTAGATACATGCTTATCCATGCTTATCCAGAATTTCCTAGTCCATGACGAATTCCAATACATACAACACGCAAAAGAATAAAAGCAAACCCTCTATAAAAAAATGTCCATACTTCCCCAAGGCTGTGTTTGATTTGAAGGTAAAAGTAGGAAAGGTAGGAAAACCTTTATAACCCTCGTATAAGTTTCCATACATTTTCCTTCAAACAAAACATAGAGAAAAACCAACAACAAACAGACCAGCCACAACTCCAAAGATGCAAATATGGCTCAAACCAATCGCCCACGCCGATCTCATCTGAAACTCTAAAATAGAATCCCCAATACTACCGGGACCCAACCCCCGTCCCCTCTTCCCCTTCCTCTACTACTCTTCAAGCCTCCAGGACCTGCTTTAATTCAGGCTATCCACTCACAAATCTACCACTTTTCCCAGCCTCAAAGTAAAAGTTGATATCATCTCTGTGTAAAGAGTCATTATATTCTCTATCCTCGTTACTTGAAAGATTTCCCTGGCACACTCCTCCACCTAAAAAGAAAAGAAAAGAAAAGAAAAGAACTAATGTCTTATTCATCTGAACTGATTGGTCATTCACCCTACCCTAAATGTATACACTCTTGATCTGAAACGGTTACTTTTATGCAACGTTTTTTAAATCAGACTAGACAGGGAACTGTTTTGGATCTGATTCCTTGGTCGAATGGTCTGACTGTCTGGTCCAAACGGATTGTCCTCTCTGACAAAAAAGATAAAAAAATTTTAAAAATATAAAAATAGAAAATGGTCAAAATGCGTTGTTCAGGTTAATGATTCAATCGTCTGGGTCAACAGTTCACTAACCAAATCAATAGTTTTGGTTAAAAAGCAATTTTAGGGTAAAATGGAACCGATCAGATGACAAATTCCTGTTTTTCAAGTCTAACCACCCGGTCCGGTCTGGTTTTGAAAACACTGCTTTTACCCATCTTTTCTTTGGGACCTCAAATGGCCACTACCAGTCACTAGATGCAACATGCAAGTGAAGTACTTTCTCAGTTTCTCTCTCCTCCCCGCTTTCGAGCCCAACCATCAAGGCCCTCGCACAAATGCCACCAAGGATCTCACCATCTTTGCTGTTCTGTGAGAGCCTACCCAAATGGGCACCGAAAATCTTAAGTTTCTGGCCCAACTTTTCAAATATGAGCCCGAGCTTTCCTGGGTCCGACTGCAGTCTTGAGAAGTTCTCATTTGAAGAAACTAGAACAAATGTTTTGGGCTTGGAGATTGGGCCCAGCAGACACCACGAAATCTCTACGCAAACCACTTTTGCAACTGCACTAAAACAGAGAAAAATATCAAATACTTAGTATATTTACACGGCCCCACCTTGAATTAAAAGAAGTGACATCTTGACGGGCTATAAAAGTGGGAGTTCGGATCTGCTCCTCAGAGTGTGCCTCACACCGACCTCAGCATTTTTCCGCTGTGCTTTGGGAACATCTTCCCATGAATAAAAATTTAGAACTCTGGAAATGTTCTAGGTGCATGGCTGAAATATGTTGTGAGGTTAGTCTGAGGCACGCGCTGGGAGGAAGAAAATCCAAGCTTTAAGACTATGTTTGATTTGTAGGAAAAAGTAAGGAAATGAAGGGAAAGGACGGGAAAGAAAGGGAAAGGTAGGGAAATCTTATAAATCTTGTACGGGTTTTCCTATCTTTCCCTCGCTTTTAAACAAAATGACCGGTGGCAAAACCATTAGAACCTGAACCCAAACCCAAGGAACTAAGGACTCTGCCAGTCCTGTCTTCTCTACTCGATGATTTCCCTGATGAATTTTTTAAGTGGAAGAATGATAAAAGGCCTAGGATGTGTTTGGTTTGATTGAAAATAAGAAAGAAACAGAAAGTTGAGGAAAACTTTATAAGGAATTTTGAATGGAAGAATTGAATGATAAAAGATGCATGGTTTGTTAGTCTTTGCATTAGGATCTCTTCAAAGAAAAATCCTGCAAAAATTCTACAAGCTTAAACATCTAATGGCACATTAAGAACATCTCCCATGAAACCATGATAAATGGGGGGAAAATATTTCTGATGTGCAGTTGGATTTCGTGTTCTCATTGATTTTGCTTTCAAGAGATTTGGGCTGTCTTTTGGGTCTTGGAAAGAGTACAAATGTAAATATGTACAGTATAAATACATACAAAATAATACAAAATATAAGGTTTTGCACTCTACATATTTGCATTTGTACTCCTACCAAACTCAGCCTCTACTACATCTTTCTGAGATTGTATGGAAAGTTTATTTAAGGCCCAGCTTTTAGTAAGCAGCTCTTGGAAGTTGGCCATCATTCATGTATCAGTTCCTATTGAAAATTAGAGTTATTATTATATAAAAATATTAGATAAATAAAATTTCCCAAAAATTTTGTGAAAATTAAGGGAGAGTGATAATTATCATATAATGTGGACATGTTTTAGAGCCCTAGAATTGTTTGTACTTTATTCTAGATAATTCCACTGTAGATTTAGGTATTATTAATATATTTATGTGTTTTGTATGCATTTTCCTAGCATATCCAAGCATTTCTACATCTTTAGTCCATATCTATGCATTTCGAAAGCATACTCATATCTGAATTGCTTGATATGACACTCAATACCAATACTTTGATCCTTGCAAAGACATTACTACTTTTGTATCTTAGATCAAGTGACACTCTTGAATAAACTTTTCCTACTATATATATACTTTCAACTTTTCGTCATAAGTGAAAATTGTTATATAGTTTATATTGCAGTTCTTTGGTTTTACATCTAATTGCATCAAGTGCCCTTAAACCATTAGTTATGCAAAAAATTAAAAGTCCTAATGCATGGATCATTTGACCTTTGGATATGTAAGGATTTTTTTTTCTTTTCTGATTATTTTATGATTCGCTTAGAAAGTCAGAAAATGCACTAAAAGAAATTGATACTTATTCAAGTGATTGAAATATTAAAAGTCATTTGTTTTGAAATTCGGAAATTGGATGACGTGCATCTTAATAAAGAGTCAGGAATGTCCTCCGCAATACTTATAGCTACCAAATTTGGGATGGTTTACTTTTGATTTTTTTTTTTACTTGAATAAAATTAAAAATCATAAACTAAAATAGAAATATAATTATAAAACAAGTATATGATCTATATGTTTCATTTTACAATTATATGGAAAAAAAAAAAGAAAAATGTTCTTTTTTATATAAAAATACTGAATCAATAATTTTTTTTCAAAAATTTAATAAAAATTGAAATAGAGTGATAATTATTGTATGACATGCATATGTTTTAGAGTTCCAATATTGTTGATTGTAATGTTTCTCTTTATATAATCAATTAAAGTGTGTATTTCACATATGTTTATACCCTGAAATAAAGTGTACATTTTCTTAGCATATCTAAGCATTCTATATCATTCATTTATATTCATGTGTTTCTAAAGTGTATACTTATCAAAGTTGTCCCATACAATACTCAATACCAATACTTAATTTAGTCCATATAAAGAGCCTACTATTTCTGTATCCTAAATCAAGAGACTCTCTTGAATAAAATTTATTCCTACTAATAGTATATCTGCTTTCAACATTTTATCATAAGTGAAAGCTGTAATAATTTTTGTTACAGTTTTTTGGTTGTTACATCGAATAGCATGGAGTGCCAGTAAACCATTAGGTATGCAAAACAGTTCAATCTCTCGGATCATTTGATGTTTGGATAAGTGATGATCTTTTATTTTTCTGATTATTTTATCAACTACCTAGGAATTCATCATATGCACCAAAAAGAGCCGGTACATATTCAAGTGATTGAAATACTAAAAGTCATTTGTTCTGAAATTGAGAAATTGGATGAAGCGCATCTTCTGGAGGCAAAAGTGTACTTCGCAGTTGTTAACGCTGCCAAATTTGGGATTGTTGAGATTGTGGATGAAATTATTAGATCCATTCCCAATGCAATATATACTGCAGATGAAAATGGTCGAAACATAGTTGCAATCGCAATTGTACATCGACAACATAAAGTCTTCAACCTCATATATGGGATGGGTCCAAAGCAGAGCCACATCACCCCATTTGATAATCAAGATAACTCCTTACTACATTTAGCTGCAATGTTATCACCTTACTCACAGCTTAGTAGAGTATCTGGCGCAGCTTTACAGATGCAACGAGAGCTTCAATGGTATAAGGTGAGCTTCTTCATTAATCATAGATGAAGAACAATTTCATTTTAGTTGTTGCATGATAATAGTTAATAAATATGTTACCAGATCACAAACCACTTTTGCAATGTACAGGTGTTAGCGTTGTGCTAAAACAATGAAACCAAGGCGTTTGATATATTGATGTGGTCTCACCTTGAATTGAATTAGATAAAGCCACAACTGTACATCAAAGGCCAAGGTTATCAGTTTTAGCATTGTACTAAAACCCATGTCCCAACACAAGTGAATTCATCAACTCATGGTATCGACCTCTAAAAATCTCCAAATTAATTTGTCAAATCATAGGAGGTGGGGAAGTTCGTACCACCTGTATTCGCAGAAAGGATAAACAAAAATGGCCAAATACCTCCAACCTTGTTTACCGAACAGCACAAGGACTTGGTCAAGGAAGGGGAGACATGGATGAAGGGCACAGCATCATCATGTACGGTCGTGGCAGCTCTGATTGCAACAATTATGTTTACAGCTGCGTTTACTGTGCCAGGAGGAAATAATAGTGATACAGGCATTCCTATCTTCTTACACAGAAAAGCTTTCATGATTTTTATTATTTCAGATGCATTCTCGCTCTTTTCTTCTTCTGCCTCAATGTTGATGTTTTTAGGAATCCTCACATCACGGTATGCAGAAGAAGATTTCCTAGTATCATTGCCCAAGAGATTGATAATCGGTCTTGCCACCCTGTTCTTCTCAGTAGCAACTATGATGATAGCCTTTGGTGCAACACTTTTCATTGTTCTTCATCATCGAGCTCAGTGGACAGCTATTCCGATAACTTTGCTTGGTAGTGTCCCAGTTGCCTTGTTTGTGTTACTACAGTTTCCCCTTCTTGTTGACATGGTAGTCTCCACATACGGATCTGGAATCTTTGGTCCAGGAAGGTGATAGATTAAGGTTGTGTTTGTTTGAGAGAGAGAAGAGATTCAATATCTACTATAAAGTGTGTTTATTTATTAATTTTTTGTTCCGATGTTAACAACATATTTTTTGTTTTAGATTTGCCAATTTGTAACTTGATCAGATATCGAACTAGGCTTGTGAGATGGAAACACTTGTGAATAAAACATATTCCAATATCGAACTAGGCTTTGCTTGGAATAAAACATATTCCAAAATAAAACATGGAAACACTTGTGAGATGCTTAACAAATTCACTGTCGATATCCAAACACTAACATAAAACATCAACACCCAACTATAACCAGATCCTACAACATAGAGCAAAGTGACACTAGGTACAACAGGAACAAGCATATGACTCAAATATCCAACTCATTCATAGCCGAAGAAATCAAAGGGCCAGAACTAAGGAATCAAAGACAAGGGCCCAACCGATGATAGAGGCTCAATTTCTCTCTTGGGAATTCCAGAAGGAAGTTGATGCATTTGCTAGAAAAGAAGTGGCGGCTAGGAAACGTGTAGAAGATATATAATAGTGCAATTAAGCAGTTGATAAACAATTTATTGAAGAAGAAAAATGTCTAAAATAATTTTACATCTCTAGAACAGCAAAAATAATGCATGAGAAACATCTGCACTGAAGTATAACTAGAAGACATGATGTGATCGAGTTGTTCATGTATGGCAGTACTATTACCACTATGCTCTATCTCCGTAGGAGCATTGCTGTAAAACTAACTGAATCTTTTCAATCCAATACCACAAACTCCAAGGCAGAGTGGAGTAGCATAAGAGTATATCAATTAGGACCTTCAAATTAGAACAAATGGATAGGGAAGAATAACCAAGTTCCTAAAGCAAACCAGATTGAAGCAAAGAGAACATCACTGTGATGATCCCTCAAAATGCAACCACCACCACTAGTCCTAGGTTACCCTACACTCGCACCTCTGTGTGCGAGTTTCCCTCTCGCGTATGCAAGTCTCCCCCACTCCTCTCAGTATAGGAGGCTTTTCCTTTTTTTATTGTTCTTGGTGTTTGTTAGAAATGGTTTTGTGAAAGAGTCTGGTGTTAGTCCATCCTTTTTACTTGAGGACAATGCTGTTAAGCAAGAGTTGGCTCCATTTCCATGTGTTGTGGATCTCTCTTCGTGGCATTTCTGGGAACTGTTTGTAAGCCAAAGGCCTCTCAAAGAACCATTCAACCTAAAAACTTAAGCTATTAAGTGATCAGGTTCTTGAATAGGTTGATATTCTCTAACGCGCCCCCTTACATGAAAGCCCATTAAGCTTGAAGTGTGAATAAGCACAGGCCTACCCATACCTTGTGCTGAAAGTTAATTAATTATAATGGGGGTAACGAGAATCGAACACTATACTACTTTGTCAAAGTGGCTCTAATACCATCTCAGAGAACCATTCAACCTAAACGTTTAAGCTGTTAGATGAGGTCCTTGAATAAATTGATATTTTCTAACAAGACCTGGTAGAGTCAATTAATCAAATTGAGTGTCACAACAATGGACTTTCAGCTCCTCTCCGCTAGTCTTTTTGGTTGTAATCTGGGAGTATTCTTAATTATGACACCCTTTAATGGGGATGCATCTTCATTCACGGTAGTTGCAGAGATTATTATTATAGGGGACGATGCTAGTACAACTGTTTTATACAACACCAAAGAACTCGATGATTCATCTCCTTCAATGAATGGTGGAGCTGCAAATATTAGTAAATTTCTTGGCTTTGAATATGCATTACCGACTCCTCAGTTTGCATTTGTGATCAAGAAAATTCTAGTTGCACGAGATAACGCCGGAGATGCTATTGTTTTTTGTAACGATTTGCTTTAGAACAATTCGTCTTCCTTGGCAAAGAATGCTTGCACAAATGATGTTAAAAACTTAGCCAGCTCTACAAACAGTTTTGATGTTATTTCCATCTTAAACTTAATTGAGACCTTTGTTTTGAAGAGTGATTATTATCGTGGAACCATGCAGCTACACTCCTTTGGCAACTATTACTATGACCTTTATTATAACTAGCAAGAGTGCGTGCGTTGCACGTTGGAGGTTATAATGAAAATGATTAAAATATAAAAAATTAAAAGGAACTAGCTCTTGTCTGGAGGTTCAACCGTTGGAGTGATAATTGTACCCGGATGATAATGGGGCTCAGAAAAGTGATAATTAAACTAGGGTCAACAATGTTTTAAAAACATTGGGATGGAATAGTATGCTACAAATGGAAATGATATCTAATTGTCCGAATTTCAATTCAACAAATTCTATCCGGTTAAGGAGGATTAAATTGTTAAAATATTCCATTGTTGAAACCTCTCCTCGCATGATGTTTGGTAATTGCAATCCAGTCAATTATCTTGGGTCTTGTCCCTAGGCCGAAACTAAAATCAGAAGAGGTCAAAACATAAACATAAATGTAGATATAGATTTTACACTATGAGGCTATTTGGCTAATATCTAAGGGTTGCAAAATGGAAACTGAAATATAAACACATGTTTGAAGAGGTAGACACTAACTAATATTCCTTTGAAATGTAGATTTCTACATTTAAAGAAAAAGAAAACAAAATGAGTAAAAACAATTAAAATTGAAACAAATGAAAAACATATGCAACCTACAAAATACATAATTACATGCCAATCTTGGAGAAAGATGGAAAAGGAAAAAAAAGAGGGAGATTGAATCAGAAGACGGATGGTAAGCTTCCTCTTAGAGGGAGCCTTTTCTATAATTTGCTTATATAGATCCATGAATGCAGACCCATTGTGTGAAAATAATCTTTGAAGACTGACTAGTGAAAGCTTGCTAAAGCTAGCAACTGCAAGGTCAGCTTGGAGCAGCTCATACATGCATATTCAAGTCAGAGCCAACAGGACATGTAAGAGACGTATTGTTAATTCAATTAACATGGAAGTAGTATAGAAATCAAATAAATAAAAAGGGTTCAGCTAGCCGGAATTTTAGCCTACCTTCAGTATGTCTAAGTGTTCCCTTGCCTCAAAAGGTGGCAACTGGCACCCCATAAAGGAATTCATAGCACAACACGCCAAAGCTCCAGATGTCCACACTTGCATCATGATCTACACTTTCAACTATAATAAGAACCCAACCATGCAATCACTTCAGATTCATGCTAAGAAGGCAATGAAAGGTCTAAATGTATTTGCTCGAGTCTATTTTATGTTCGGCAGTTTTTCATAGCGTCTCAAGCGGTGCAACTGATAACCCAGAATAGTTAGACCAGTAACCAATCCGTCGAAATCTAGTTCCAATGATGTTAATGACATCATATGTAGGACGAACAAGATATCAGTTTGGATTAAACTTGATGGGACCAGTTAAACCAATCATATTGTAGGTTGCATATGTTTTTCATTTGTTTCAATTTTAATTATTTTTACTCATTTTGTTTTCTTTTTCTTTAAATGTAGAAATCTACATTTTTAAAGAATATTAGTTAGTGTCTGCCTCTTCAAACATGGGTCTGTATTTCAGCTTCCATTTTGCAACCCTTTGATATTAGCCAAATAACCTCATAGTGTAAAATCTATATCTATATTTATGTTTATGTTTTGACCTCTTCTGATTTTAGTTTCGGCCTAGAGACAAGACCCAAGATAATTGATTGGATTACAATTACCAAACTTCATGGAAAGAGAGGTTTCAGCAATAGAATATTTTAACAATTTAATCCTCCTTAACCGAATTGAATTTGTTGAATTGAAATTCGAACAATTAAATATCATTTCCATTTGTAACACACTATTCCATCCCAATGTTTTTAAAATATTGTTGACCCTAGTCTAATTATCACTTTTCTAGGCCCCATTATCACCCGGGTACAATTATCACTCTAGCGGTTGAACCTCCAAACTAGAGCTAGTTTCTTTTAATTTTTCATATTTTAATCATTTTCATCATAACCTCCAACGTGCAACACATGCACTCTTGCTAGTTATAATAAAGGTCATAGTAATAGTTGCCAAAGGAATGTAACTGCATGGTCCCACGATAATAATCACTCTCTGAAACAAAGGTCTCAATTAAATTTAAGATGGAAATAACATCAAAACCGTTTGTAGAACTGGCTAAGTTTTCAGCATCATTTGTGCAAGCATTCTTTGCCAAGGAAGATAAATTGTTCTAAAGCAAATCGTTACAAAAAACAATAGCATTTCCGACGTTATCCCTTGCAACTAGAATTTTCTTGGTCACAAATGCAAACTGAGGAGTCGGTAATGCATATTCAAAGCCAAGAAATTTACTAATATTTGAAACCCCACCATTCATTGAAGGAAATGAATCATCGAGTTCTTTGGTGTTGCATAAAACAGTTGTACTAGCATCGTCCCCTATAATAATAATCTCTACAACCACCATGAATGAAGATGCATTCCCATTAAAAGGCGTCATAATTAAGAACACTCCCAAATTACAACCAAAAAGACTAGAGGAGGAGGTGAAAGTCCATTGTTGTGACACTCAATTTGATTAATTGACTCTACCAGGTCTTGTTAGAAAATATCAACTTATTCAAGGACCTCATCTAATAGCTTAAACTTTTAGATTGAATGATTCTCTGAGATGGTATCAGAGCCACTTTGACAAAGTAGTATAGTGTTCGATCCTCGTTACCCCCATTATATTAATTAACTTTCAACACAAAGTACTATATAATACCAAAATTGATATACTTTTTGACATTTATTATAAATGAATAAAATGCATAAATAATTCGTATTATTATAGTATATTTCTATATAATACCCTTAAACTGGACACTTAAGAGACTCGTGCACTACAAGAAAATCGATCTAAGCCGGTGGTCGCATGACCACCACCGGCTTTGATCTAAGGCGATGGTCTTTAATCCGCACCCTAAACCTCTGCCAACTTAGGTCAAGACCACCGCCTTGGGTGGTCGATTCAAATTGCTCTAAAGTGGCGGTCATACCGAGCCACCAACTTAGCATTAATCGGGCGGCGGTTTAGACCACCGGCTAGATACCAAAAAGACCACCGCCTTAGATTCCATCAAACTCTCAGGTGGCGGTCCGAACTACAGGCTTATATGCTAAATGACCGCCGCCTTATGTGTTGTTTGTAGCAAAACCGACAATTTCATGACCGCTAGCTTAGATTTTTTTTTCATTTTTTATTTATTTTAGGTTAATTTTAACATTTTTTGTCATGTTGATAGCTAAGCCAATAGACATATCTCCAACATATTCCTATTTTTTTTCAAAAAAAATGCATATACCCACTTTATTGCAGCATTTTTGTGGTACCTGAATTTTTTAATGATTTAGCATTTTCATACCTGTGTAATACAGCAAAACTATTTGATAAAAATATTTATAATGAAATCTATTAATTCAAAGATTATATATTAAAATATCCAAAAGGCATTGTTCAAATACAATATCCAGTTGACATATAAATAATATAAGAACTTAAAAAAATTAATCAAATTCTCTAATAATGCAACACATCTTCTAATGCAAATCCACTTAACATATTGGTTGAACATGCAAATTAAAACATATAAATATTAGAATTATATTCAAGTATTTCAACTATAAAGATAGGAATCGTAACTAAAATCTACAAGGGCTGAATTCTAAGCAATTAATTGGAATATCAATAGTAGTTCAAAATATTCTATAGCATCCATAAGGGCATACTAGCATCGCATCACTTATTTTCGATCTATTTTTGATATGCACACTTCTACAACCCTTGAAGCTAATAAAGACATCAAATCATTCAATTGAATAGAACCAAGAAATTAAATTAAAGGGCCTTCTTACAAAGCAACCTTGTTTACTTCATTTTACATTCACCCAACAATGATAAAAGCATTCAAAGACAAACTAATATTGCTTCATGGTTTAACTTATCAAGTAGAGGGCCTTTTCCGAGTCGTACCTAAACTGGCTTTGTTACATCTGCTTTGCAAAGCCTCTATTACTAAATTGCCATCATACATATTTCAATTAATGGTGTTCAAGGAACTATTTTCAAATTCTGACTTGAATAACCCGTGCACCTTGCATCTAATAGCATCCAAGAGTATAGGCTTACAAGCAAACCCTTTGCTTACCTTAGAAAACATGTCAATTAATTAAGTCTTATTTTAGTTTTCAAACTTAATATAGTTTTGCCGGGTATCCTCCCAAAGAACTTAATATGCCTTAGAAAACTTAATATAGTTTTCAAACATGCCTCAAACTTAATAGGTCGAGTCCGGATCTCCTCCCAAAGAAGTTTGTATCGACACATCTCATGCATGAAGGATAACCTAATGGGTCAGGTCTAATCCAATTCTGGGTAGATCTGAACCTCACTGATAGGTAAATGTGCAGAATCAGTTATGAATTGGGTCTGTAATTAGGATTCTCGGGTCTGACCCAGATATAATTGACAATCATACTTCTTAACTACCTGTAATTTGACAATAAACCTACTTATTTGCTAAATTAACATCTTTGGAGATCATAGTATGGCAATATTACAAATATATCAAGAAAAAAATAGGTATTAGACAAGACCCTATATCCACTTATATGAGTATAGTGCATGAAAGAAATCCATGTGGCAATACAAAAGAAGTCCTTGTGTTTTCTGGGTAAAAGCCTAGCTCAAGGAATTAGTCCTCATCATTCTTTTACAAGACATATAATAATGATGTAAAATTTGTTCATCATCATCAGTGCCTTATCCCAATTATATAGGGTCAGTTATATGAATCCTACTTTGCCAATTTCTTCTATTAAAAATTCATATCCACTGTTAATGTAATATTAGTGCTTAAACCATTTCAGATCAAAATAAGTTATATCATCATACTTTGAAGCTTAATGAGGAATGAACATGAAAAAGCATATATAAGAATGAGATGACACAGTAAAGAGAGTAAATCATAAGTTATCAACCTGATATAAAATGGAGCCTACCTCTTCTACTTTGCATATTTTTATTCATTATTGCTCATAAAAGACAATTCAAACAATCCATGGCTTTCTTGTAATTAGATTTTGATAGTTGAAGTATTGAAAACAGATGAGATGACCATACTCGTATCCATGTTTGGGATTTTAGGAAATAAAGAGGAATCCCCATTTACCATAGCTGAATAAACTTTCAACTACCAAACTKAATAAACCTATCACTTTTATGATACTAGTTAATTCATTATACCATTATGATACTAGTTGTTTAAAAAAGCAAAACAGAAAAATATTTGATGGGAAGAAATAAATCAAAGCCCTCCTGCTATAAAGAGAAGCACATTTATTTGATTGAAGAAAAAGTTGCATAGGAAGAAATGAGATGGGAAGTGAAATTAAAGAGCTATAATATTTTGTAGATTCAACATACTTGTTTATGATTCAAGAGTATAGATAATCAGTATGGAAGTGCTCTTAAGTGAGCTTTATTAGTGCAATCAACTTTTAGAACATGGTATGCTATGTGGCCAAATTCATAGTGAAATCAGTTGGTTTACTCTTCTTCAATTTCATTTTCAGAGAGAGAGTTTTCTTTTCTGCAATTTCATTGCTAGGAAAGAAGATAGTGGTAATTGCTACCCTAAGTTAAGAAAATATGGTATAGTATCAAGGAAGCATGGCAAAGTAGGTGTCCATTTTGTCTATCAAGAATAAAAAATAGATTAAGTAGTTTCTTGATGTCTTTTTTTTTAACAAGGAAGCAAAGGAATTGTTCTGCGGTGCTTAAAGAAGTTAATGTCCAAATCATAGCTGAAGCTATGCTAAAACAATGTTCTCTCCAAAGTCAAGATGATCATTGATCCAAAGTCATTGCTAGACAAGAGGATAACTTTGTAAAGATGTTTGCTATCCATAGAAGGGGTCACTTGAGTGAACTTGAGGTTTGAAACAGATTGTACTACTCATCATGGCCTCATACAGAAGGTAGCTCTAATATAGACCCCAACAGATCCTTTGGGATCCACATAAGAAATACCTAAGTTTCTTAAGAAATTATCCTATAGAGACTTTTGAACCTCATATCAGATGAAGCATTTGTACTAAAATTGGATGAAGCAAACCCATCACACACTAAAGTGCAACACTTGTTTCTTTGTAGATTCCAATTCTAATAAAAGGCAGCCACAGGTGAATAGTATTATTGATCATGTAAATGGAATGGCAAAGCAAAGACAAACAAGGTAAATGGAAAAAGAGCAAGGATATGCACCTTTAATTTTATTAACCAACCATTTGGCTCCCCCTTTAATATTGATTGACAATGGCTGTAATATGTAAGAAGTTGGTGTTAGTAAGTATCTAACAAAATGATCTATGTTATATTGCTAATGCTAAGCAAAACCATAGAAGAACCAAAGAAGAAAACAACTAAAGTGGCCCACCTTGTTCCGAACCAAACCCAAGACTAACCTAAATCAAACCCATATTGGTAATGAATTGGACCAGATTAGGGAAGGAACATTCTCAAATCAGAGCAGAAATACAAAGATCAGGGAAGCAATACTTTTGCAACTTCTCAATTTCAATAGTTTCAAGAGCCTTGTGCTATCAAACTAGAAACACCAATCAACTTGAGTGGTTTAGGCCTACCATGGGTCAAATGCATAAGCAAAACTGCATTAAACAATTAGAGAAACAACTAGAGGAAGCATGGTTACAAAACATTTTTTATCAGTAACATGGTTGCAAAACATTTGTCTCCCATGTTTACCTCTTTTGCCTTGGGATGGTGAATCAAGACCACCTTCTACCATTTTTGGCAGATTTCCATTATTCAGGGTGTTTGGTGCTTCTTCATGGGGTCACTAGGACTCTCTTGAGACCTTCGTGGACATGGAAATAAATCGTGGTAGAAAAGGATATAGAGGAAATACATTACAAAAATTTACCCAGTAGGCAATTTTTTGGGGATTTGTGAGAAGAAAGAAATAGTAGGTCTTTGACGGGGAAGTCAGGCTCCCCTCCCCATCCTCATGGACATAATTCTTGATTCACATAACCCTAGGAGGCTTTACCTAAAGAGATGTTGAGGGACATGTCATGGTGGATTTAATGTTAAAGCTCAATTATTGGCAAAATATGAGACTTCATAGATTGTAAGATAGTAGCTTTATGACATTATAAAGATATCCCCTATTTATGCATATCATGCATACATGCTACAATCAAAATGGGGAAGCATTATATAATACCCATAGAAAAAATGCAATATTAGAATTCACCTTTTTCCTTTTTTGATACTCAAGACATGCCTCGCCTTTATAATGAATGCAATGATATAGTTCCAATAAGAATTTAAGCGAAAAAAATGCAACCAGGACCAAAAAGATAAGATTTGGGCTCAGTTGTAAAGTGTTGATGTTTGAGATAAGCTGTTTTATCTCCAATTGTTCTTATACCATTTTCTCTTTTAATTAACGAAAGTTACAGTTATTGATATTTAAAAAAAAAAGATAAATGGTTATGGTATTGTGGAATGAAAGAAACGCCAGAATTTTGGCTGGCGAACAATCAGAACAGTATGTGGTAGTATAGGAATATGATCAGGGAAATCATAAGTCTAATGGGGCAAATGAGTACGAGAGCAGAATGGCTTCCTCGAGCTGCAAATAGTATGGAAATATGCAAACAAATATGCTAAACGTTTCAAAAGTTGCGAGCAAATATGCAAACAAGATAACACAGACTCAGAGACATGCTCCATTATCACTATAGCAACAGTATATTTCTTACCAAAAAAGAAGAAAAATATTATAAAGCCTATGAAAGGAACAATAAAAGCACTCAATCACCACAAAATAAGGATAATAGAAAAGAAGTTTGGGCAAACCCTGATGAAAAACCCTTTGAGTTCAAATGCCTTGCAATATAGCACTCAATGTTAGCGAGATGTCCAATGCCTTGCTTGGAGAATTCATTAAAAAACATTGAATCAACAACAAGCAGAATATCCATTTGCTAACAACAATCACAATCGCATATTTGTAGTCTTAGTCTTTTAAGAGAAATGGACCAAAAAAGTTAACAAAAAAGAAATATAACTGGAATGATTAATGCAAATAAATAAATACTCAACGAAAGATCAAAAAAAGAGAAGAAACAGGAGGGAGGAAATTATAATCTATACTGAAATTAGGGCTCTCGGTTGCGATTTTAGCTGTTAAAAAAAAAAAAAAAAAGAAATCTCAAACTAGATGTCAAGAATGTTTGGCCAGGTAGTTTATTCACACTTCAATCTCCATGCTGCATATACCTCTAAGTTTTTCCCTCCGCTTTCACAAAATTTTGGATTTCCCTCCCTCAACGATCGATTCACGCAAATAGAGCCACCAACAATGGAACAGAGCTACCAATCGATCTCTTCACGTCCCCAGTCGAACAACGAAGGAATAGAGCCACCAATCAATCCTTTCGCATCCTCAACAAAAAAAAAAAAAAAAAACAATGGAACGGAGCTACTATCTATTGCATTCTCTTACTGTCAAGCAATCTATTGCATTCTCTCGATCAAAAAGTGTCTTTGCGCCTATCTTGTTGAACGCAGGACCAGAACGAACGCGGGAGGCGGGAACTTTGAAGTTTTAGCATTTAGGTTTGGGTTTTTCGATTTGTCGAGCAAAATATAATGGTTTTACACCGGTTTAAATCAGGTTTAAAAATAAGCCGTCGGGCCAAACGCCAAAAACCGCCGCTCAATTTTTAGTTTTCATTTTTAAGGGTGGTTTCTAATGCAGTCAAGTCGGTTGGGGTAGCTTGTCTCAACTGGCAGGGTGAGTCTCAAAGTACATGTAATGTGGATTTGATTGAAACCATGAACCGAACAATTTTCTACTTATGCCCTGGACCTTGGAGACAGATGAGCAAAACTGAAAAATTACACATAACCCCTACACTCGATTATGGTACTGCACTAGGTCTTGGATTGGGTTGTTTTTGATATGCCAATCAGTGAGAGCCTTAGCGGGGGTCAAAACTTGGGTATGTTGGAGTAGTCTGAGAATTCACCTAAGTAGATGATCATAGTGATTGAATCAGCCCCTTTGTTGGACAAAGTGAATGATCGGGGAATGCATTATCTTTGACTATGCACTCTCTTTGACGGAAACCTAAACTGCCGACAGTTGATTTCAAATTTGTTGAGATTTGTTTTGCAAAATATATTTATATAGAGATATACATATATATTATAGTTTCACAAAATGTTTGCAAAAAGGTTTTAATTCCCAGGATCCATGTGAGCAGAGATGCAACATTATACCTTGCAGCCAAGGGAGAGGTCCTCCCTTGTCGGACAGTGTTTGATCATTATGGGCTAAGAGGTTAAGTGTAAGACTATTTAGGGCTTTTACCTAATGGGCTAATCTCATTAAAGTCCATAGTCCTTAGGCCTTCATAAAGTGACTGAACCTAGGGACCATTTAGTGTAAATGTTGGGCCTACTAAGAACCCATACTGATGGGTTTAGGGGTTTACTGTCTAAAGCAGTGAATTCGGCCAGGCCTTGTAACGGAGGCTAGGCTGAACCTATATAGCTTTTGTGGAAATCAATGTTAGGGTCCCACGCCATACAAAGAGAGCCAAACTAGCCATCAATTAAAAGGAAGTGAGCCTGAAAGCTTAATGGGCCTAAAGCCCAATTCAAATTAGGTTTAATGAGATTAATTAAAAGGGCGAATTTGGGTTTATATCTGGATAGGGATTAGCAAGAGGATAAGATAAGTCTTATCCACTTAAGAGTTCATATCTAAATAAAGATTTGGATCAAAGAACCTTTTCCTAATTTGATTAGGAAGATGATCTTGAAAAGAAATGAATTAGGAGGCCGAATTCTACAGTGATATCATTCTTTTCTGCAATCTGCTTTCTCACTCTACTATTGCCGCCCTATCTTGTTCGATCTCTAGTTTCTGGAGTGATCAAGATTGGATCTTGATATTGTTTCTTGCTGGAAGAAACAATTTGAAGTTGTACTCACATCCCTGCGTGGTTCTTGTTGAATAATTGGAATTCTTGCTGAAGAATCTATTTGTTGATCCTGCCTCACCCTAAGTTGTGTCATCTTCAGTGGATGAAGGATTTGGTGAACTCTTTGGGCGTGAACACTTGCGTTGGAAACTACTATTCATTCCGTATCAAGTATATCCCTCCCTTAATATTGGTTTTACACTTGGTCCGGTTTGTTTCAAGAACGAACCATGAAAAATGCAGTTTTTCTAAATCAGGGAATAGGATTTCCGGAAGGGAGACAGAAAATTTTTGAAATTTCGCCCAGCTACCCTGCATGGTTCGGCCATCCATAAGATGGATCTCCCTTTCCTTCAGTGGTATCAAAGCCAGGTTCAAGTCTTGAACAAAATATGAACCATATCTAAACCTACGCAAATGGGCAGAAACTGTTCTATCCGATTTGTGCAAGTTTGTAGTTTTTCTAGGAATTGGTTCCCAGTTTTTGGGCATGTAGTTCTGTCATTATTTATTTATTATTCTTTAATGAAAAGCTCCAAGATTTGTGCACCCTACATTTTTTTCATTCTATTCATTTTGGTCTGTAAATATTTTTTTTTTATTTTTTGACAAAATGTATAGGATTTGATGTGATGTAATTAATAGAGAATTAGGTTTTTCTATTTTTTATGTCTGAAGACTTGCTAGAGCACGTGGAGGAAGAGAAAATCTTTTGTAGTTAAAGAAACTGCAATATGCAATTTGTAGATATCGAATTCACTATCTACGATTAACCCTATGTTTTCCAGGTTTGCAATCACACGTACAACCCTCTAATGTGTTTTCTTGCTGATTCTTGATTGTCTTTAATCGATTGTAATTAATTTCATATCACAATCTTGAATTAAATCTTGAATTGCACACCAAACCCTAGGCCGATTTTCACTTGATTTTCGATGGAGTTAATTTTCTTACCCAAATTCAGTTATGGGCCAAGGGTTTAATGGCCCATTACAAGATCTAATTCGGCCCACCCTGTAAAACCCAGTTTTGTTAAATTAAAACTGCATTAGCCCTATTTCAGCATAAATGCTATATGGGCCAAACTGCCTTTTGCAGTTCAGCCCATATACCTAGATAATGTTATATGATAATATTATGGGCTTTAATGGGTTGATATTGATTTAACTTAATTAATTAAGGGTTTTACAGTTGATTTAATTGATTGGATCAATTATGTGATTGTTTATGCATGTGATGTGTGATGTGCTACGTACATGGGCCATAAGCACTTGGCCCATGTTCATTCGTTAGTGGATCTCTGGGCACACCATGAATGAATGTGAAGGTGATGGGAGATCTATCATATGGATGGCTGAACCATGTAGGGTGGTGGGGCAAAATTTAAGAAATTTCTTTCTTCCATCCAGGAATCTTATTTCCTGATTTAGAAAAACTGCATTTTTCAAAGATTGTACTTGAAACAAACATGACCAAATCTGAAACCAAGATTAGGAAGAGGAATACCTGATACGTAATCCACACAAAAAACTCCTCCCAATGTAGGTATTCACACCCAAAGAGGGTACCAAATCCTTCCTCCACTGAAAATGACATAGCTTAGGTGAGGCAGGATCAACAAGTTGATTCTTCAGCAAGAACCCTAATTCTTTAGCAAGAATTGTGTAGGGATGTGAGCATAGCTTCAAGATTATTTCTTCCACTAAGAAATAATATCAAGATCCAATCTTGACCACTCCAAGAGGTGGAGATCGAACAAGGGGCGGCAAGAGTAGGAGGAGAGAGAGATGAATGTAGAAAGTAGAGGAACTATGTAACGTTTTTCTAGTTCACCCCCCTTTATATAGACCTTAAAGAGTTAATCTCCTAATATGATTAGGAGTTTCTTGATCCAAATCTTTATTTAGATCTGGACTTTTTAAGTGATAAGGCATATCCCTTATCTTATCTGCAAATCAGGATCAACCTCTCCTAATCCAATTAAAAGTTTCTTAATCCAAATCTTTATTTGGATCTAGACTCTTTAAGTGGATAAGAGTTATCCTCTTATCCTTATCTGTTGATCCATACCTAGATTCACCCCTATTTAATTAATCCAATTAACCCAGTTCGAATTGGGCTTTAGGCTCATTAAACTTTCAGGCTTACTTCCTTTAATGCTGACTAGCTTGGCTCTCTTTGTATGGCGTGGAACCCTATCATTGATCTCCACATAAGCCACATTGGTTTAGCCTAGCCTCTATTACAAGGCATGGTCGAATTCACTACTAAATACAGCCTAGCCTAACATGAATCAAATATGTACTTTACAATAAATGTCATAATGTACATCAAGTTGATTGGAACTAAGGGCATACACTGTCTAACAACTCCCAATTGCACTTAGGTCCAATCGGGTACAAGCCAGAGTTCCATACTTTCCACGTGTTTCTCAAACACTTTTTGTGTTAGTGGCTTAGTCAATGGGTCTGCCACATTCTCCACTGATGCTACCTTTTAACATCAATCTCCCGTAGATCCAATGTTGTCACACAACAGTGGAATGGGTGATGTGTTGAATTCCAAATTTTAGAATGAACACTTTCATTCATTAGGCAGCCCCGCTTACGACAATGTGCTCGGCTTGGGTTGTGGACTGTTATTCTTACTACACAAGACCCGATCATGAAGATGTAACCAAATGTAGACATTCTATCATCTGGGTCTAACTGGAAGTCGGTATCAGTATACCCGACGATCTGAAAGAAACATTTCCTTTCTTGGAGTTCTCCATGCTATATCTCTTGACAATCTTGTCAATGTAAGTAGATTGAGATAGTCCTATTATCCTCTTCGATCTATCTCTATAGAGTCGAAGTTCCAAAATGTAAGAAGCTTCTCCAAGATCTTTCAAGGAGAATTGCTGTGAAAGCCAATACTTTCACCGTAGTTAACATTCCTACATCATTTCCAATGAGTAGAATGTCATCTACATACAGAACTAAGAATGTAACCTTATCTCCCACTGTCTTTCTGTAAAAATAGGGCTCATCCAGATTCTTCACCAAGCCAAACTATTTGACTGTAGAGTTAAACCGGATGTTCCAACTCCTAAAAGCTTGCTTAAGTCCATATATGGATCGATTAAGTTGACACACAATGTGTTCTTGACTTCCAACAATGAATCCTTGCGGTTGCTGCATGTAGATATTTTCAGTAAGCTCTCCATTCAGGAACGCGATTTTGACATCCATTTACCAAATCTCGTAGTCATGGTGTGTTGCTATAGCTAGTAGGATCCTAATGGATTTAAGTATGGCCACGGGCGAAAAGGTTTCCTCATAGTCATTTTCTCTTCCTGAGTGTACCCTTTCACCACAAGACGAGCCTTGTAAGTCTCAATCTTACCATCGGAAACCATCTCTCTCTTATAGATCCATTTGCAACCAATTGCTTTCACCCCAAGGAGTGGATCCACTAGAGTTCAAACTCCATTGGTCTTCATTGAGTGCATCTCGGCTCTCATGGCATCTACCCACTTTAAGGAATCTATGTCCAACATAGCATCCATATAAGTCATGGGATCCTCCTCATTGATCGTCGCTTCCATCAAGTAACTTTTTTTATTATAGCCA